AGGAAATTGTGGAGAGCCATGATTACCAACGTCTTGAAGGGACATGTCATATAGAAGCTAAAGAATTCGAGTATTAAGATATTTCCATCAGATATGATCTGCTTAGCATTCCACTGGAGGAAGAATATTTATTTTACATTAAAACCTTTCCTGCTCCAATAAATATGCATAATAAATTTGAGTTCTTTACATAAAGTTGTTTGGGCATAGCTAACCAACTACCAGTTGTATGTGTATTGGTGTGCTGAAATGTTCTCTGGAATCAGCAACCCATTTCCCAAAATCTGAAAAAATGGTATTTTTACATGAATCACTTTTTTTTGTTAATGGAGAACTTTTTTTCTCTTGTAGGTTTGTGTTTGTCAAGACATGGGCTAAGAGATTACTAAAAATAACTGAGAAGGAAAAATTTTAGTATTGTCTGCATACAAAGTAATATCCAATTTTGAACAGATGTCTATCACCCTCCTCCTCCAAAAAGTCTATTTTATTAATAGTTAATCTATCATTTTTTTTATTACTAACTTTAATAGACTTTTTCTAAACAATTAAAATCGTAGTTTTTTTAAATCAAATAATACTTTGAATTCAAATAGTTTTGAGGGATAACTTTAACATTTTGAACCATCCCAGCTCCTATCCAAATGCATTATTACTATTTCTGATTAGATTTCACAGTGTTTTTGTTTTAAGTCTGCTTCAAATTATTTATACAAGAGAATGCTGAAAAGTTTTCAACCTGACTCAATTCCCAAAATCTGACCAAATATCTGGGAAAGAACTTCTCACCACTCATTTGTAAAATTACATGGATGGTATCTCTCTGCTTTTTTTGTAAGATGGCTCATTGGAAAATCTGTTGCTTTTAGTTGCCTTTCTTTTGTTCTCAATATTGTAAAAATTTATCATTTTACTCAGCCTTTACTGGAATTTGCTTATTTTAATCATTGCTTCTCATTTTCAAGTATAAAAAATTAACTCTTCTGAGTTATCAAATAATTTGTAAAGTGTTTTGTTATTCAAACTAATAATTCATTTAGCTGTTCTTTATCTGATGGTCGTGTATATTTTGGGGAATTTTACAAACTTCAACAATCCAAATTACAAATGGTCACACTGTATCATAATGTACATTTTAATGTTTTAAATTCTTCTGTTTAATTAACAGCTTGCTAAAAAAAAAAAAAGTCCTATTATATTTGTAAACACAAAGGAACTTTACATAAAATAGGCCAGCAGGCTATATATATATATATATATATATATATAGTATACCTGAGGATCAATGAAGAATAAAGAGTCTAAACTCTAATATCCAAATTTTCTGTTAATTAATAGTATGAATAACATTCTCTTTTCAAAATATCTAGATTTAAAGATTCTTTTTATTTTATTTTTCTATTTTTTTTTGTCTGTGTTAGGAACACACACACACACCCACACATGTGTGCCAAAAAGATGGACAACATTTTATTTTTAATTCTTGTTTCACCCCACCATCTTGTGTGTAAAAACACATTTAAAGTTTTGCCTATTTCTGTTGATATGTCACTCTCTCTGTAAAAGAATCACACTTGCCAATGTGTTTTCAACTTTCACCCCAGCTACATAGTTGAGTAACACTCAATGTTCTTTTCACATGTTTTCCTTTGTAAATGACACATTTCATTTGTTTTATTGTTTCAATTACACTGTTTAGATCTGTCTCAATCATGCAATATTGGTTCATATATAAATGGTGTCAGGTATGGAAAAATATATATTGTTCTGTTTTGCTTTAAACTGCCTCTTATATTTCTTTTGCATTTGCATGTGTTAACACTGTTGTATTCTCACAGAGAGCATGAGTGTACTTTGTTTCTCAAGAGCATTCTTTGTAATTCCATTGTTTCTTTTGTCATATTGCAGTTAGTCTGTTGGTATCTTGCTATAATTTTTCCAATACTAGCTTTGCTTATCATTTTATATTAAATTACTTCAATAAAATAGAAAAAAAAATCTATTCCTTATACTTCAGTAAATGTTTTTTGGCTTTTAAATGACAGTTATTAAAATGAATCATCATGAAAATATTATTGATGTGAGTTTTACTATGATATTAAAATGAATGAATTATTTGTTCTAATTTCATTATTTCCATTTGTGTTTATGCATATCTGGTGAGGTAATCAAAATAACTGTTGTTTCTCATCCACTAGACATTTGCTCTTTAACCATTTCTATGGGTATATAAAGTTTGGATTAATATTTTATTCATTATATACAATAGTCACTTCATTTATGTACTTGTAAAATATACCTTATTAGATTATCCTTGTGACAAAGCAAGTGCAAATGAATGGTTAGAACTGAAAACAAGTGGTTTTACTGATCAATAAATATTTATTTTATTCTGGTTGTTAGTTTTAAAATAAGAGAATTTGATTTTTATTGGAAGTAAAACATATTTCTCAGCCTTCCTTTATTGTCTACTAATAAATTAAAGTACTAATAGTAAATTTTTATCCCTGAAAAGAGTCAGAGCATTCCTTGATATCATCAGTCATAATGGATTATATGTCGTATGAGGTCCCATTTTAACTGTGAATATTCAGAAAATTTTAATCTGTAATAGCCTGTTATTGTTGACTGCCAGAAGCATCTTCCATTTGCATATGATCCCAGTTCATATGAATACTAATTGTACAGAAAATATTGATTAACTAGCCTAAGGAATCTGTTATTCTTTAACAGCAATCCCCTTTCTGATTTATCTAAATCAGGCTCCAAGTTTCATTTTTATTTTTATTCTTGAAGATTATGACCACTTGTGTTCATACACAAGGCAATTATCTATCCCATATCCTGTGTGTGTACACACACACACACACACAGTCTTACTAAACTTACTTTTGTCTTTATCAGGAAAACTAGAAAATAAAGATTGTTTCTCTTGTGTTAAGTCATTTGAAATCATGAGTTTTGCTTGGGTTCATTCCAGTGATTTGTTGTAAATGTTTACCAATTTAAAGTTCAATTCAAATACTGTTCAATATACTTTATATATAATGGTATAACAAACTGCTAATGTATGCAGTATTAATGGCATTAATGAGTGACTTGTACAAATTAATTCATGAATAACAATTGTCTCACAAATATCAGAGTCTGTTTCTTTTTGTTATAACACTATTTTTTCTTTTTTTTTTTTTTTTGTCATCTCATCACTTATTACTTTGTTTTAATCCATACCTTCCTGTGTATTGACTAAACAATGATAAGAATATTCATCAAAATAAGTATATTGATAATGCCATTTCTATTATTTTTATATATTCCATATTCATAAGAATTAAAGAAATCAGTTATTTCAATTAACATGTTTTGTACATTATTTATTCAATAAATTTTGTTTTCTCCTGCGGTGATATTTAAGTTTTACATATGATCTTTGCATTCATTTCAAGTTTATATTTTTTTTTTTCCACTAAAAATATATTCTTTTTAAAAGATATTCTAATATTAATCACACAGTTTTACAGAAATGCATACCATTCTTCAAAAATTCATCATCAAAATCTAAATAATAATAATCTAAATTCTAAATATAAGAACTCTTAAAATAAATAAAAATACATTTTTTTTTTTTTTTTATGTTTATAATAAAGGCCAGCCCATGATCTGACTCTGAACATCTTATTTCTTCTCCAAAATGACATACTGTTTCCTTTAATCTGCATCCTATGTTGTTGTAAATCATCAAAGCTTCAGCAATCTCATTATTTTCATAAAAAATAACATCTTAACTTATTCCCTAATATGATTTATGCCAGGATATAGATGTCATTTCTATTGCTCAAATTCCTTTAAAATGTTTTTTGTTTTTTTTGATTATGCATTTTTTAAAGTGATTCATGACATAGCTGAAGCTATTTGCTGAAGACACTTATAAAATCTATTCTGCTTCATAAGCTTTTTTACAATGCTGTGTGCTAAAAGTCTAACAAAATGTGATTTGGAATGGTGTATTCAACGAGTATTATTTTATGGAATCTGAGTCAGTCCACTTTTGTATTGGAAGTCACAAGATCAGCAGTTTTCAGTGTTTAGTAAATGAGGAGCAATTACTTTATCAAGAATCTTATCTGGTTGGACAAATAAAGTGTTGCTTAGTCAGAATAGTGACACTATTAAACTGTTACATCTAGTAGCTACTATTCTTGACTTTCAAGCTACTCTGGAAAAAGTTATAGACTTACAGAAACCTTTTTTTTTTAATTTTATTTCTGCTAAGGTATTGCAGAATTCTGATATCGGTTAAAGTAACTATAGTTGCCTATAAATATTAGTAGGAAAAATAATTCCCAAGTCCTGTTTAATTTGAAACCCTTAGATTATTATAATGAGGAATTTCTTGATTTGATTTGTAAGTATATAAACTGACTAAAAGGTCTAGCAATTTGAGTATTTTTCTTTATATGAGACAAAGTGAAAATAGATATGCTGTAGTTTCAGGCTTCTACTGGAAATGAAAGAATTATGCTTTCAACTGAGACACAAGAGAAATTAAACATTTATATGTGACATTGGCCCTTATTTATTGCTAACATGTAAGCAACAGTAAAATTAATATTTTGCCCCAAAAATGTTTTAAGATTTTCTTCCTTCAGGAAAATATAGGCTTATGGTTGAATATTTGAATCATGTTTGTTTTTTTTTTTTTTTTTTTTTTTTGTTTTTTTTTTTTTAAATGTTATTTTTAATTAGTATCAGAATAAGCAATTCTGCAAATAGAAAGTATTTTACAAATATCAAAAGATAAACAATTGCCTGTTTTAGACTAGTTGGATATAATCAATGAAGTAAATTGCAAAGAATTAAAAAAATTTTATGTATACAGGGATGAATATAAGAGTTAATTTTTCTTTTTTTTTTTCTTTTTTTTTTATTTTTTTTTTGTCCCACCATTTCCTTTCTGTCCCTTCCTTTCCATCAATTTTTCGGTAATTTCATTTCTCCCCATGTCGCTCTGCGCGCTTTTCTCCCCATGTCGCTCTGCGCGCTTTTCTCCCCATGTCGCTCTGCGCGCTTTTCTCCCCATGTCGCTCTGCGCTTTTCTCCCCATCTCGCTCTTGCTTTCTCCCCATCTCGCTCTCTTGGCGCTTTTCTCCCATCTCGCTCTCGCCGCTTTTCTCCCCATCTCGCTCTCTCTTTTCTCCCATCTCGCTCTTTTTTTTCTCCCATCTCGCTCTGGCGCGCTTTTCTCCCCATCTCGCTCTGCGCGCTTTTCTCCCCATCTCGCTCTGCGCGCTTTTCTCCCCATCTCGCTCTGCGCGCTTTTCTCCCATCTCGCTCTCGCTCCCCTGCTCTCGCTTTTCTCCCATCTCCCCATCTGCTCTTTCTCCCCATCTCGCTCTGCAGCTTTTCTCCCATCTCGCTCTGTTTCTCCCATCTGCTCTTTCTCCCCATCTCGCTTTTTCTCCCCATCTCGCTCTGGCATCTCTTTTTCATCCCCATCTCGCTTTTTTCCCCCATCTCCCATGCCGCTTTTTCCCCCATCTTTTTCCCCATCTCGCTCTGCGCCTTTTCTCCCATCTCGCTCTCGCTTTTCCCCATCTCGCTTCTGGGCGCCGCTTTTTCCCCATCTCGCGCTCTCCCCATCTCGCTTTTCTCCCCATCTCGCTCTGCGCGCTTTTCTCCCCATCTCGCTCTGCGCGCTTTTCTCCCCATCTCTACCTAGTTTCTTTTCTCTTTTCAATTTCTTTTTAATTTGAATTTTCAGAATAAAACTTTTCTCAATAGAAAGAAAATACTCTGTATATAGCAAGTAAATGAAATATATCTGTAATATTTTAAATGGGACCAATTGATGGCCCCACAGTTGTAACAGAGGGTTAAGGTAAGTCAAGAAATTGCTCGATTCTCTCAACCTTTGCTTGAAGATATCAGGATGTACCCTTCACTCTACCCCTTTTTCTTTTCAAAAGGATACTTATATGGAACATTTCTTGCTCGAATGCATTTTTGTTAGTAATAACATTCAACAGTTTAAGGAGAAAATAAAATGTTAAAGATTGCCCCATGTGGATGTGGAGTGTTTAATGTTTTCATCTTATTTATGCTTATTGCTTCTTTGCTTTTTCTTTCATTTTTTTTATCCAACTGGACACTTTATTTTAAATGGCCTTTATTTCATTATCTTTAGCACATATTTGAAATTACTCTCTAAAATCTTGATTATGCATAACCTTCACATGTTTATAATGTTAATCCTGCATCCAGATTTTGATGCTGCAATATATAATCAGAGAGAGAGAGAGAGAGAGAATGAATGTGTGTGTGTGTGTGTGTGTGTATATATATATAATTGAGTAGTAAAATATGAGGTTCGTAAATATATAAACAAATTTTTTAATAATTGTAAACGAAAGGAAAAACGATTCTATCCCAAATTAATGGCACAAGAAAATTCATAGTCTACTTTATATGTATATTATATAAAATAAAATTATTTTCCTATTTCTAGTTTTCTTGTGCCATTAATTTTGGAGATTTTTTTTTTTTATTTCTAGGTAGATGAATATACATTGTAGAAAGTTCTTCTGCCTAATATTTATAATTGCCTCTGTTTCTTGAGAAATACTTAGAATTTTATTCTCCATAAATCAAAGAAACTAATGTCATGCCAATAATTTAATTCAATAGCACATATATAATTCCAAGCCAGTAATTTTTACCAAAATATTGATTGAGAGAAGCAATATTCTAGCCAAAAGGACAATGTCACTCATCCTAAAAGGGAAATTTTATTCAGACATAGACTTTATGACTTGTTCTTTGTTTAAAATTCTACACTCTAAACCAGTGGTTCCCAAACTTTTTTTTTTCTCTAGGCCACATTTTCAGAATGAAAATTTGCTCACACCTCAACAAATTTATGATAAAAAGTAGATTTAAAAATGAAAAACAGGGTGAAAGGGCAATAACCACGGATTAGAAGTCAGAACATTATCATTGATAACTATTTCCTCCAATTTGCAGACACTAGTTACTATATTCTTAATACTTGATATAATTTATACAAAAATATCACAATTATAGAATCAGTCAATAACTATTTATACTGGGACTCCTGCATGCAATTACAAGTAATCCATAATAACATTTTAAATTTTGAAATCACACTTATTTTTTGGCATATCAATTTTTTGAAACTGTTTCTAAATCTTTGAATCATTCGACCTCACCTGCTATCTTCCTCCACTGCACATATGAAGCATGCTTCACTGTTTGGGAGCCACTGCACTAAGCTATAAAATGTTTACATTAAGGAGTCATCTAGTCATTAAAAAAATATTTGATTCAGAAAGTGAAAACTTACTTATAAATTCAGAGTTTGAAACAGTTTTTTTTTGTTTTTTTTTTTTTTGTGGGGTTGGGGGGATGACAGAATCCCCCACCGTAATAACTTAGTTTTGTTAATTTTGTCAATTAATAGTTTCACAATTCACCATCAGAAATAATTGTTTCTTTTTTAAATGATTATGCTGTAGTATAAGTCCATATAACATATATTGTGGAATATAATAGGCTTACAAATTACTGACAATTGTATTACAGTAAATATTTCATTTATCAAGTTGTAAAATTCATAGCAGCTCTAAGCTAAAATAAAAATTTTGAATGAACTTTCATTTCCAAAATTTCAATTATAAAGTTGGAGTGTGGGGAAGTTATCTGCCAAATCAAGAATGAACTCTGATATTTAGTCATTTATTTAGGTTTTGAAAAGTGGGTCAGGCCCAAAACTTTTCAGCACCACCTCATGCTCTACAATGATAGGTATCCAGTCAAATTATGTTTGGTTAGTTTACTTATACCCTCATAAAATGACAGCAATATTTAAACAATTATAGTATTTGTAAAATATTAAAAACTTTTGCTCTGCATTTGCTTATTTATATTCAATATTTCCTGAATCTATAGTTAAATTGGAGGTTTCTATTTATGTGTTCATGCTACAATTAAGTTCAAATAAACCCGATGACCTGATTTTTTGACAGAAAGACTATGTAAGATTGACTTCAGATGTCATTTGACACCAGGTGTCATTAAAGAATGCAGCCTGTTGTTTCTAACCAAACAAAGCAATTTCTGTCAAAATAGTGACATATACAATTTTTTAGCTTAAAATAAAGCAGATAAGGGTTTTTTTTTTTTTTTTTTTTTTTTTTGTGTGTGTGTGTGTAATTGTATTAAATCTAGAAAAATGTTCCAAAATTATACAAACTACCGTTAGATCTGCCAATGAAGCGTTATTATTCCAGAAAATGATGCAGTTGAAGAAAGACTCAAAATTGCTGCAACAGATTCCCAAGGAGTACAACTCAGTTGACACGCTTACAGACACTCCTGAGGTTATTCAGAACCCAATTAAGTTCATCAATTTTCTTGAGTTGAGTGTTCAACTAAGAGCTGATATACATTTCTAAGAAATCTCAATTGTCTAAAGTTATTCAGTGTAACTCTCCTAGCTGTCAAACAACTTCTGTCACATGACATCAATCACCTATTCTAAGTGGGGTAGGCAAAAAAAAAGATATGCTCATTCTAAGGGTCCCCATAATTGCTCCTCAATTTCAAGTGAATTTCTTTATACTTTTTTTTTTTTCATTGCCAGATTTGTTGGTTGCTTTTGGATTGGATCCCCCTAATAACCTTTTCATACTGGCTATAAATAGAAAAGTAATAACATTATGTACCTAGCTAGAAGCTATATAATTTGCAACAGAATTTTTTGTTTTTTTACTAACTGCTACATTTTCATGTAATTTTTCTTTTTTTTCTGTATGTGAGAAGAAATATATTAACACTTTTTCCCCATTGTTATTTTTTCCTCAGGCAATGCAAGGTGGTATTCCTGTTAATATTAAACCTTATTTATCATTAGATAATTATAGAGTTTTATTTGTTAATTTTTACCATAACATAAAATTCACTTTTTACTATATTGCCAGAAGTATCCACTGCATACATTTTTTTTTTTTTATCAGAATCACCCCCAGCAGTAATGCCACTAGGACACAAGGGGTTACAGGGAAGAAATAGTTACAGAAACATTAATGAGCAGAAAGAGAAGAGAGTAATCAGGTGGACAGTAGATAGGGATTGACATTGCATTTAAATTTTTGCAGATGAAAGTTGGCTAGAAAGCACAGTTGAAAGGGAGTTCCACAAGAAGTGAAAGAAAAGAAACTGTTAGCATAGAATTTAGGCTACATCTAGCCAGCTCTACTGTAAATTGAGATCTCAACACCAGTCTAGTTCTGTGCTTAAACTCAAAAACTCTAGGTACCATAGCAAAGAGCACATTTGAACAATTTCCATGAAAGTATTATTAAAAAGATGTACAGAGGCAACCTTACAACAATGGGAAAGTGACTGGAGCTGACCTGCCAGATCAGGACTAAGAATATTGCAGATTCTTCTTTGGATCTTATCAAGGAGCTCAAGGTAAATAGCAGGGTCACCAGATCATATGTAGCAGCAATATTCTAAGTATGAAAAAATGACAGTCTTATAGATATAAGATTCTGGAGAGAAAAATTTTCTTTCTTGACATAGTGGACTGACTTTCTTAGCAACTGACCTAGCAAAAGATTCAATATAGTCTTTTCATTTCATATCAGCAGAGAATGTAAACCTGAGAAGGCGCATTGAGTCACTTTCCTGAAGTCATGCTGATGGAATGCAAGGGGGTCTCGTGGATGATTAATGGAGAGAATTTTAGTTTTGGAGGTGTTAAAATTAACAATCCATCTTTTGCCCCAGTTAACTACGAACTTGAGGTCATTTTAGACATTGGCTGCCATTTTGACCTTATCGAACTGATCAGGCTTACTATCAAGACAGGAGTAAATTGTGTTGTCAGCATAGATACCAAGTTGAGAGCTGATTTCATTAGTGAAAATTTAAAAAAGTAGAACCAAAGATGAAGCCCTGGGGTCACCTACGTTAGTATCAAAAAAGGTCTAGATGAGTGACTATTCAGGATAAAGCTCACTTCATGATTTGAATGATACATAAATTGCCTATGTTGTGGGCTCTTCTGATGATGTAGAAAAGTGATATATATAATAATGCTAAGTTTCTGAAAAAAATGATTTTGAAAAGCCAACATTTTCCACTTCTTATTTTTTTTTTTTTTTTTTTTATTCTAAATTATTTGTCTCTTTGCAGGCCAACAACAACCAGAAAAACCATCACAACAATCAAAGCTGGGAGAACTCACAACTCAACACCCACATTCTTGGTTCTACAGATTTCTCCTCTCCCATTTCTTCTCCTCCTAGCTCAGATACACCATTACGCAAGACCAACCTCTTTGCTAGCTCCTCTTCAGATAGTTTTTCTAATCGTAATGACTCTGGTTGCGAAGTACTCACCTCTTCTAAAGACTCTTACGAGAGTGAGTCTACATATCGGCCTCCTGTAGGTCGGCCATGTCGGATTAATCCATTTAATTCTTTGGACAGTGATGGGGAATCTGCTTCTCCATTGTCTCCAGATGAGGCAGTGAAATTTTGTTCATATTCTGACTTTTTACAAGGGAAAATACTGGATTTCACAGAAACAAACACTAGTCGACCATCTGGCAAGCCAAGAAACTTCTTGCAAATGCACGAGGAATTTGGACGACTGTATAAAAACATTCCAACTTCAAGAGATCTCAAATGAAATTTGAAAAGAATTAAAACTTTTTTCTATGTATCAT